ATGCAGAGTGTGAAAAAGTAGTGAGTCAGCACCACAAAAAGAACCTGAATAAAAGAACACAAGCTTACCGAGTTCAAAGTCCAATGATAGTCAACAGTGTATTTTAGGATGTATGATCAGAGCCAATAACCTGTGCTTGGGCACTTTGTCACCCACACTATGGCTTCTGCAAGAAGTGTCAAAGAAGCACAAATATCTATTGATTATTAGGTGAATTATTTCACTTATCTTTCACCATCTTACACTTTTTTTAAAATTTAGGTTCTTGTTTTCTTCTGAAATCATCTAACACAATCCACCATTAAGTGTTTGATCAATCACCTAAAACTGAAAAGACTTCAGGAAGAGGACTCCTTGCTGAAATGCACTGATTGAGTTATAATTTCATGTCGAGATCATTAACATTCACTTATGGAACTTTTCTGTATCTTTTGCAGAAGTAAAACCAAAGATGTTCACTAAGTTTCCCAGTATACTTTCTAATAAGGACTCACCTAAAAGCCAGAATTCACTACTAGGCATGACTTGATTCATATATTTTCTTTCTTCATATAATAAAACCATACATTCAATGTGTGAAAGCTCACAGCTCAGTGGAGTCCAGTCATGGTTATTAACTCATTCTAGGTGCTGGGTACATCTCTGTATTCCTAAAATACTCTAGTTTGATTTTATAAAAATACAATATCTGTGTGTTTTTTTGTTTTGGGTATGTGTGTTTTATTTTTATGTCTTATGTGTCCTTTCAACATTAAGCTGTTCCAAATCCCTCCTGAAAGCAGGCATGGTAGAGCATACTAATAAGACCATACAGGCTATTAAAATGTCAAAGAGCTTCTACACCAGGTGGTAAGTAGCTGTTGCCCAAGTGCTCTGGGTGTCAGCTACCAGACCTCCAGCTCCTCTCATAAGACCCCTCCCCGCTTTCCTGCAGTCTAGTAAATAAAGGGGAACACTGGTACATCAGGGGACTTCCAGCCCCGACCCTGCACCCCAATCCCCAGTTCAGGACTGCCGTCCCTTCCAATTGGTCCCATGCCATACTGGTCATATCCCTTTCCGATCTATACTGGACATATCCCCGAGATAGCTCATAAATAATAAATACTTAAATAAACAACCCTCCATCCTTCACTGGGTGTGAACTGGGCTATCGGACTTCAGAAATTCCTGATTAATATTTCTTAGTTGATCTGAGTAGGGAATAGTCATTGTTTATAATTTTTTTAATTTTATTTATTTTTATTGACAAAAATTATATATATATAATGCACAACACGTTGTCTTGAAATCTGTGTACACTGTGGAATGGCTAGATCGGGCTAAGTAACATAGGCATTACTTCATATATGAGGGGTCTTCATGATGTTCGTGGAAAGATTCATATTATCTTTTAATTCAATTTTTCCACAAACTTTTTGAAGTACCTTCATAGTTAATAACATGTATTGTATTCTTGAAAATTGCTAAGAAAGTAGATATTAAGTGTTCTCACCACACGGAAAATGGTAAGTACGAGGGTA